AATTTTTATGATTGCAAAGCTTGTCTGTTCAAAGCCAAGTAGGAAAGCATTACTATAAAAGGGTCAGTCACAGAATGGAGAACGCCTGATCGGATGGTCCACTGGAGACACATCGGGGTTAATACGTAACTTGACTTTATAGTATATCAACTTGCCTACGTTATCAGATACTTCTTTGAAATTTGACTAATTACTTTCATCGTGACTGCCACCATCACCAAAACATCCCTCATCAAAATCATATTGAATCAAACAAAAAGTGCGTAGTACACATGCTGTAATTATAAACAAAACCATAAGGTTAGAGATGGCCATGTTTAAAAAAAAAATGGAACTAAATGTTCTAAGTAAATGATAGCCAGTAAATGCTGGTAACTGCACCTTACATGAACATATCCTTCAACTTTTGATAAGTGATTGTCATTAGGGAACCAGTTTTTGGCCTGAAGAAAAACAGGGGTGTTACCTAGTACCCTTGAGTTGATAAATAATCTACCCTTTGGGCAGGTTTTTTAAAAAATAACGATAGCAATAATAATAATTCCTTTATTTAAATGGCAATAGTAAATTACCAGTAAAAACTACATAATGGGAACTGATTATAAATTTAATTAAAAGGTAATTAGTTAAAATTGATAATGAAATAGAATTGGTTAAAATTCATGAAAATGTTAACAATGTTAAGATAAATACTTGATACTCAAACAAGACGATGTATGTGAAAGGTGAGAAATTACATAACGAACCATATATTTATAACAGCAATTATCAGTCCCTGCAAATTTTGAAGTAGTATATCACTGTCTTCACACTTGTTGGACATCGTCATATTCTATCCTTGTTTAAAGATTCAAGATTCAGAACGGATAGATGAAGGCTATGAAGGAGCCGGGAAAAGTTACGTCATGATGAAGATAGCATTTAGTGCTGGGAAGGATGAAAAGTGTGGACATGTGAGCAGAAATTTTGGAAAGTTTCTACTTTCATTAAGCTCAAGGTTTCACAGCATAGCTACTGTCGCAGCTACTACGTAAAAGCAACTCGGAAGCATGGGCATTTTCTCAAATGTATATGCCTTGGAAAGAAACGACCTCGTAATAATGAAAGCCCTTCCGTTCTCGGATACTGGCTATCTCACTTTTGGAGCCGCTCACTTCACATTCCTTTAGCTGGCTGCTAAAATTAATCGACTTGCATTGATTGGTTACCAAGCATAACTGGATGCACTGCATGACGTCAGTGACACTCCGTGATGAAATCACATGACCTGGCAGTGCTTTACCCGGGCCGAACCGCGGTTCAAACAACGCTCCCGAGACTAAATGAAGGAGAGCAGAAAAAAGAAATAGTTTTAATTTTAGGCTTACCACTTTCATTGATGTGGAGAGTCCACATTGGATAGGTTGTGTTACTAAGTATGAAATAAAATATGCAACATTACTCTTGGGAGACTAGTTGGCCAGACTAATTTTGATTTAAGGCACTGAGAGGGAATGAGCTGACGGTATCCTAACTTGATCCTATCCTCAGTGGGTACTGCTGGGGGAGACATGCATATGATGGGAGGATGGTCAAACAAAAATGAACCTTATGGAAGATAATAATGAAAACACACACACACACAAACACACACACACACACACACACACACACAAACACACAAACACACACACACACGTGGCATTATGTTGCGTTATTGAAACTGCAAATAGATACCTTCTGGCCAAGGTTCGCCGTAAGCTTCCAGTTTTGTGCATGGCCAGACACTCCATTTCAACGGTATAAGGCGGAAATATCGAGCGTGAATCACCGAAATGATGTTTTTCTTTACTTCATGTGCGTTGCTATTTCCTTCTAATACCTAAAATATTTAATGCAAAAGTAATACCTATTAAAAGTAGTACTGGAAAGGAACGTTCTTAGTCTCACGACTCAATATATTATTGCCTTGCTGACTCAACGAAAAAAAAAATGTTTATAATCAGAACTGTCTGGCAAGAGGCCTGTTTTCGGAACGGCTATTTATCTGTTCCAAATAGTCGCTTTTTTTTGGGGGGGGGGGCACTTGTTTGTATTCAAGAAAGAGACTATATTAGTTTGTAATTCACACCATAGATAATCACGAGACAAAAAAGAGTTAACTGATTTTTGAGAAAGAAACCCCACTACTCTTTCTTAAATAGATATTTAAAAATATCGTTCAGACTCGTTCAGTCTCTGGAACTTACGAGAACCTTGCCCCAGATCAATAAATTCCTGATCTATGTGCACTGTCCAGGTGCAACTAACTTGTCGGATAAGAAAAATGTTTTCCCCTCTAATGTTTGCGTGGGGGTTGGTCCGAAAGAGAGCGCTTGGGTATTATAGTTAACTGTATACCATTATTACAAAGTCTACTGAGTTGGCAGTTTTTTGTCACGGTGATATTTCTTGATTCCATGATAATTTTCTTTTACCTCTGGACTTTCCTCCCAGTTAACACCATCGTGAGACCATCTCAGTATGTATTCTTTCAAATAATCATAGTTCCCACCGTTATTTCCTTGAGTGGCAACTGCACAAATACGGTAAGGACGGCCAAAATCTATCTGCAAATATCCAATTCATGTAGTATCAGAACGATTTTTCATTGCAAGTCAGAGGTAATAGAGGATTGCATTAGGGCCTCTTCATATGAGCCCGGTTGACTGTGCTGGCCTGGTTTCCGAGATCTCGCCTTACCTCTAGATCTAAATCCTTTGTAAAATTTTCGATGTGTTCATATGAGATGGCGGCCTGGCTCGGTTACCGAGACCTCGGTTTTCCAACCGGAATCTCGGTAAGCGGGCTGGAAAACTTTGCCATATGAACACTTCATCCCAGTTACCGGGATGAATTCTTCGCATATTCGTTTCAACCTTCGTAACGAATGATTTCGCTTCCGCAAGAAGGCGGCCCTAATGGCATCGTTTTCCTTTGTCTGATGAATTTTTGACATCAGTAGCAGCCTGTTTAATTGCAGTGATACAGCTGAAAGGGTTGCCAAAGCCATGATAGGCGCAAAAGTAATATCTCAGTTGCGTTGCGCCATCTTATTTTGTTTTTCCAATTTCGCGCCAAAACTCGTCCCCAGGATCTTCGGCTTTTTCTCATCTCCGAAACCGGGCTGAATTTTCTCTTATGAACCCAAGGCGAAATTCGTCCCGGTAAGCGGGCTAGCCCGGTCAACCGGGGTCGTATGAAGAAGCCCTTAGTTCGCTTTGACTCTATCCGTCAGTGTTAAAGACCCTCTCGACTTGAACTCATGGTCTTTGACTGTTTTTCACTTATATAACAGCCTTTTTTGTTAAAATTTTCCTGTGTTTCGATTGGCTGCTACTTTCGTCTCACATTTACCATGTTGAGTACCTAATCAACCCAAGCAAACATAGACAATTAAACTCAAAGTCATAAAAGAGAGACAGCCCCGAAAAAGACTTTTGATTTCAGGAACTCGTTGCTTACAAATAAGAAAAGGTTAATACTTGGTGAAACAGAAAATACCTCTAGAAAAAAGAATATGTTCCGAACAATCGCTCGCAAGCTCATGTGGACATCCACTAGTTCATTTCTTTCTCGGCACCTCATCATTGCCTTGTCAACTTCGATCTATAACTTAGCAGACACACGGCATAATCGATTCTGTTTGTTAGTTACCTGGTAGTACACACTCTCATTCGCATTGCCCGGCCAGTGTTTACACCAGGTCGTTACTCCGTTCAAGCGAGCCTTTGAAGGCACTCCCGATGAAGCAGACAGTTGAGAATCAAGAATTTCACCAGTTTCCATACCAACGGCTTGCGCAGTGCATACTAAATGTAAGTAGAAAATTTTTTAGGTCAAAAGAAGAATATAAGGAACAGCTTCAGTAGTGTTTTGTTTTTGACCAATACGTCGGCACATCGTCAGAAATAGAGTAATTTTTTGGCCATGTGGTACTAAAACAATTGTTTATCGTAGCAAGAGTGAAAGTGGTGGAAATTGTCTTATTTTTTTTTTGCTTTCCTTTTTACAGCAATATATTCTATTAATTCAGTCTGCACCACTTTTAACTTCCTACTTTAATTACTAATCGTTGATCTTTTATTGTATACGAAAGTCCTGCGCGAGGTTTACCACCAGTAAAATAGATCACGCAATACAAATCCTACCGGCATTGCACTAAACTGGTTTAGAGCTTCATTTCATGTTAATCAATCCAGGCAGTACCTTGCAGACAGGTGTAAAGTTCCACCCTCATCGACACAAGGCCTTGCCAGGTTAGAGGTCGGAAACGGATATACCGCGCTGTGATTGGTGGGTTAAGTTCATGATATACAACTGTATCACGGTCCTGATTTCCGGAAAACTCCTAAAGCATGAAATGGGGGTTGGATGTTAGGAATTGAGATGAGCTGATAACAAGTATTGACGAAAGAGGCTTTATTTTTCTTCGTTATGTTGACGTCAAAATTCTTTAAATCAAAATCTCAGAAATCAGAACTAAAACGGAAACTGCACTGATCCTGTTGATCGCATAAGGAGTACGCAAAAGACGAAAACAACACAACGTGTTCTTTGTGACCAACTTAAAAGTCTGTCGCCCTTATTAAATTCATTTATTGAAAAGTGAAACCTAAAAGAGGAAACGGAGTAAAAAAAAACATCAAAGTTTGTATCGTTCAGCGCGGCCATTTTGTTGTTCTGTATTTTTACCCTGTTCTACAGTGTAATGCCGACAGGAGGATTATAAATCAAGAAGAAAAAGAAGTTCAGCGATCAAAAATGTTTCAGAAATTGTGACAGATCACAAGTACATTTGAACATGGCTGAATTTATGTTTGTTGATTGTGACAGAATCAGAGGAATCATGAAAAAAGGAGTGATAAAACTCAGAAACTTGGGGCGGCGAGATTGCTGGAAACCTCATTTAGGCGCGCATGGATCAGTCATTTCTGAGAGCCGCACCGATGATGATTCCGTTAAGCAACCTTTTACTTTCCGTTACCTTGCGTAGTGACTGACCACTTTCCTTGTAATACTCAAACTCAACTCCATCAATACTGTACTGTACGTTGTATTTAGTCACCCATTGACCGTGATCATTCCTTCCTTGTGTAGCTAGGCCTGTTACACTTGTATAGCGACTGCGCAGGTCCACCTGGAGCCACTCATGAATTGTGTGTTGTAAAGCCACCCATCCTCCCGCTCCTGAACTTGGCAGAAGATTCAATCTAGCCCGGGTGACGCCGTGAGTGACTGAGTTCCATTGCGAGGACGCAGTTATTTGATCGTCCTGGATGTTGCCGTTTTCCATGCCAAGCGGAACTTTGCATTCTGAGTTTTTTTCGGAATATGCATGTTAGTTCTTATAGACACCATCCTCATAAATCCAAACGAAATGCATAAAAAAATCTAAGCTTAACGATTGGTCAGCTTGCATTTTAAAGCACTTTAGGCAGTCTGCTTTAAAAGTTGTAATTTGCTCCTAGTGATACTGTCCTGTTTTTTGATTGGTCGTACGCTTTGTGATTACTATGAATCTGATTTAATGACACTAAACCGAAGGGTGTCTCATTGTTTTGCATAAGGCGCTTTCATTTGCTTATTAAACAATGAAAATCAGTGAATCTAAGAAGGAAAGCAAAATCGTGACATTTTAACCTAAAAAGAGAGAGACTGGCCAAGAAATTAAATCTCACACATTTATTTGGGCCAAACTGTATTACTGATTTCATCCAGTTCATTTTTTATAACAAAGGTTTCTTCAATGTCAGGATTGGTGAGGTTCCATCTCCATAGCCTCTTTGTTTCGTTCAGGATTAGCTGACTTTCCATGGATTATCCACGCAAGCAAAATCAAGGTGAAAGTTAAGACATTTTCACTCCTGCTGAGATTTTCATCATCAAAGGGGACCTTTCACTAACTTTAGAGCGATTGCCTTTGGAAAGTGCTTATATTGGTTTTTGTTATCTTAGCTCGATCTTTTTTAGCTGTAATTGTGTGATAATTCGGAGAGATCCCTTTGAGCAAAGCTCCGGGGTGTATTCATGATTGATTTGTCGTTGAAACAATGCAAGTGACCATAGGAGCGTGGGAAGTGTTCTATTTTGAACTTAGAATACAATACTTAATATGACAGATACAGCTGTGTTACCTCTGTTCAATTTTTAATCCCAGCTTGAAGATAAAAAGGGATTTAGTCTAGAAGACATGGTTACTGCTGCAGGGGACATATCTCTCCATATCAGACTTACCTTGTTCACCGTTTGATCTCACAACCTGGAAAACAATTGAAGTAAATCTCTTGTAACGATACTTTTGCATGTTTCTTTGTGAATGATGTACTTTGAACAAAAAAGCGATCAGAGACGAAAACCCCCAATCTTTGTTGCCTGATGTCTGAAACTATTTGTATCCCTGAAAGGATCGTATGTATCTTACTTTTTTTTTCTCGGATCTTGACAATACTTCTTATTTGTAAGGGTATAAATGATGCTTTTGTAAATAAAGTACACACCTAGATCCTGTAATTCTAAGGCCTGGCGAATGACATCCCGATCTTTTTTAAAAGTTCTGTGATAGAATTTCACTTCAAAATAGTTTTTTAGTGTAATGATAGAAATTGATCGGGAAAAATAAGCCGAGCAGCCTAAATGTCCGATCGACGGAGAGAAACATTGTATTATGAACTTAACTTGCCGATAGACCTCTCCTGATTTAGTTGGTTAAACCAGTTCCTTTTAGTTCGCAAAGATATATATATAGAGACGTGATTATAAGTTTCTCGTGGATTATCATGTTTGATGATGGCCCTTTTTAAGCGGAATCGTTGTGGCGGTTCAGTTTTCACCATACTAGTCATTAGTAAGGAAATATATAGAGTATTTTTCAGTTAAATAATAATAATAATCCTACCAGAAAGAGGAGAAAGAGGCACCGACAAGGCTCTTTCGTCTTCCCAAACCACCATTGTTTACGAAGCATTCCAGAGAATTAAAACTTGCAAGAAATTGATACAACCGCTCGAAAATGGCGCAAAAAGACTTCAATGCTGAATTATAGCGAAATTTCCCAAAACAGAAGAGCCACAATCATTCTTAGCTAGATTAAACGAGTGTGCAGAAGAACCAATAAAATTCGTCCTACAGACAGACTCCCCGAGGTTGTTATCATTTCATCTGGTGTGTAAGTTATTAAGGTGACAACGTTAATGATTGTGATTGGGGCGATAGCCGATAAAAATTCACTGTTTACCTTGCAATCACCTGTTTATAGTCCGGGCAGGTGATACCCAGACCGTTTACCTGAGCCAGTGTTTGTCGCTGATTTTTGAGGCCTTGGTATCCTTCAGGTGCATTGATGGAGTGTACTTCGGTATTCATTAACTGAAGTGTTTTTCTGCTGACTCTTCTGACTTGGCCATCTCACGAGCTGCGTTAAACGTGAGAGCATTTCCAACCTTGAAGCGGTCCTTACGTATACGGTCAGATTTCATACCCAGCACAAGAAAGTCCCTAAGGAAACGATCGTTGTGTTCAACTGGATAGTTGGCTTCCTTCACAAGAATTCTTAATTTCGCAATAAATTCCTCAAGAGAGAGAGTACCTTGTCGAAGGTTATAAAGCTCCCACGCTGCTATTAACTCATTTAAGTGTGGTTTCACGAAGTGCTCAAATCTTTCCCACTGAGTAGTTGTCCAGTCTTTTCTGCTCGTCTGCAGACAGATCCCAGCTGTTGAACAGTTCAATACCTTGCTTTCCCGACTAGTACAACAAATGTTTACACTTGATTTCCTCGTCAATTTTAGCCATCGGCCCGGTGAATAGAAATTCGCATCTTTGTTTCCAGTTTTTGAACCGGCTGTATAGGTTTTCGTCTGTACTCCAGTCAACTGAAGGGCCTTTGTCGATGAAGGACGCAATCGCCATGTTGTTTGTTTCACTCGTTCGCTGAAGCTTTTAAGACTTACGCCAGTCACCTGAGCTAGATTGTTGTCCACATCAACAGTGAAAATCCTTTCTTTTCCAATCCCGCTCCTGACACCATGTAAAAGGATAAGTAGCTTTTTGGTAATTTTATTTAGTTATCTCAGATCAAGGAAAATAAACTTTGTTTTATACTTTAATATTAATGATCAATTAAAAACAATGTACACGAAAAAGCCTCGCACAAATAAAATCTTTTTTCCAAGACCTATACTTAAGTCCTCCCTTTTAAAATTATGTATGTATAAAATTTAATGTATATTGTTTCTTTTTTTATCTTGAAATGAGCTTAATGATCTTGTTTAGGAAAGCCGGCATATTAGTAGGTCAATGTGATCGGAAAACATTAAATATTTGGAAGAGAAACTTAAAACTTGTCTTTTGCTTTCATAGATTTTTCTTTTGTGAAGCCCTACTAAGTGACTCTTGATGTCATGTCAAGTTCTCCTTTGGTTCCATAAGAAAACAGACAGCACGTTGGAATGAGACGGTAGTAGTTCATCTCAAGTCACCAAGGGCTTCTTTTGCACTCAACCCTTCAATTATTCTGTTACAATGTTTTATCTGGCGGTGAATAGCACCCGTAAGCCTCTACGTAGATGTTCACTTTGCTTGTCAAGCAAAGAGTGAATCAGTAGTTTGCCGTCAATATATGCAGATGGCATCTGTGTATACAGCGACTTCTGGGAAATTTCTTATCGCCTGAAAACATTTTTAACGCCAAACTGACTTAAATTCTAAGGGTGTGAATAATATGCAGACCCTTCTCAACAATCAGAACATCACAGTGATGAAACACCACCAAAAATTTTAGACTGATAAATATTTTATAGGGACGGCTACATTCTCTTCTCCAGCAAAATATTCTCCTCAGACTCAGTGATATTTGTCGAATAATCCCCAGGCTTTGTGCAGGGGATTCTACAATGTACCGGCTAAAATTATTGAATTCACCCGAGGGTAACCTTCCGACAACTACCCCCGACCCAAACTTCTTTTACGCGAATTAATGGTGCAATTCAAGCGATCTAACTTACAACTGCAGTATATCTGTTCATCCCTATTTCCATGTTTTGAGTACTTTCGAAAATCAAAACAATTTCACAGCTCGTACCCTGCATATGCAACACGTCCAAACTTGACATATCCAATATGAACCCCTTTTTCCATTTTTCACTGAATGTGGAAGTTCTCGACAAACGAAATAAATTCTGACAATTTACCCTGCAAGTAGAATATATGATAACATGCCAAATCCAATCTTTACCCCAATTTTTCATTTTCTCAATCAACTCTAAAAACACGGGATTGATTGTGACAATTCATCCCACAAGTGGATAATATAACTTTTCCATATCCAATCTTTACCCAGATTTGTTCAATTAACTTAGAAAAACGGGGTAAATCGTGACAATTCGAGTGGTTAATATCACGACTAGCAATGTCCAATCTTTACCCTGGTTTTCCATTTGTTCAACGAATTATAGAAAAACGGGATAAGTTCTGACAATTCATCACGCAAGTGGAATATAACCTTAGTTATCATGTCAAATCTTCACCCCGATTTTCCTTTATTTTAATGAATTAGTTCTAGAAAAAACGGGGTAAACTCTGAGAATTCATGACACCCTTAGCTCCAATATTCCACCTTTACTCCCAGTTTCTAATTTTGTCATATCAAATCTTTACCCTAATTTTCAATTTTTTCGTTTATTATGGACAATTAAGGTAAAATCTGACAATTAATCCAACATGTGGGATACATCATAACTTTTCATCGTCGATCTTCGCCCCGATTTTCCGTTTTTTGAGTAAATTCTGGAAAAACGGGGTAAAATCTGAGTATTCATTCTATAAGTGGGATACATCCTAACACGTCACATTCAATCTTTGTTCCGGTTTTTTGCTTTTTTCCCCCAAGAATTCTGTAAAAAATGAGGTAAAATCGGACAATCCATCCTACAAGTGAAACATACCCCAAATTGTTATATGTAATCTTTACCCGATTTTCCATTATTTTCAGAGAATTCTAAAAAAACAACAATTCATGTCATAAAAAGAATATATTCCAACGTGCCGAATGAATTTTTCAATGAATTCTGAATAACGGGCTAAATAGTCCTTTTTACAGTTGTGGGCTTGGTGGCCTAGCCTTTGAACAGGAGTGAGGCTAAGGGTGACCTTGTTATGATAGAGATGTTGCTGCTTTTCAAATGCAAATTACTTTGTTATCATGCTAAGTAGATACAGGTCTCTATCACAACATGGTCATCCTTAGCCTCACTCCTGTTCAAAGGCTTGGCTACCAAGCCCACAACTGTAAAAGGGACTATTGTGTCCATTCATCTTAAAATTGGAATAAATTAAAACTCGGGACATTCTTGATTTTCCGCTTTTTATGTAATTAATTTCAGAAAAACGGGCTAATTCTGAGAATTCATCCCGCAAGTGGGATACATTCTAAGTTTCCATATCCAGTCTTCAACTCGATCTTCTGAATACCAGAAAAAACGGGGGCAAGTTATAAGAATTTATATCGTAAGTAGAGCATATCCTGAGTTGTCATATCCAATTCCCCCCCGATTTTCCATTTTTTAACGAGTTAATTCCAGAAAAACAGGGTAAACTCTGAGAATTCGTGCTACAAGTGGACAATATCCTAATAACAACATTTATTTATACCAAAAAGAAGGAAAAGGTAATACATAGATTTTGAAACTAGAGTAAGGTATTAGTTGCCTATAATAACCATAAGGGCTAGGAAAATTAGGCAGCTATCTATGAAATACAAATGGGAAAAGATTACGGTCATCTTAATAAAGTAAAAGTAACCTAAGAATAGAGATATAAATAGAAGAATAAAATGCCATCTTTGCTTCGATTTTCCATTTTTTTAGTGAATTCTAGAGAACAGGGGTAAATTCTTAGAATACGTCCCGCAAGTGGAATATAAACTGCATTGCCATGTCAAATCTTTCCTGATTTTCCTTTTTTTAATAAATCAATTCTAGAAAAACGGGGTAAACTCTGAAAATTCATGCTACAAGCGGATAATACCTGTAGTTCCCTTATGCCATCTTTACTCTGCCTTTGCTATTTTTTTTTTCAAGGAATTATAGAAAACGGGGTAAATTCTAGTAACTCATCCTCTAAGTGGAATATATTCTATTGACTTGCCACATCTAATTTACTTTACCCCGATTTTCCATTTTATTTTTCAATAAATTTTAGAAAAACGGGGTAAACTCTGAGGATTCGCGCTACAATTGGATAATACCCTAAGTTCCCATATGCCATCTTTACCCCGATTTTCCATTTCTTTTTTTAGCGGTGAATTTCACGATTAGCGCTCATCGTTAGCCCCCCTCAATATAAAGCAATACGCAATAACTTAATCGCAATTATGAGTCTTTTATAACGCCCACTTTCACTTATATTAACTTCCATAGAAATTCAAAACTTAGGCTCAACAACGTGCTATATAATATACTGTTCCTCTCAGTTAAAGTGTAATCATTCCCTAAAGAAGTCTCAATTCTATTAGTGACGAAACGTGTCCGAAATAAACGAGAGGCTTACAACTACAAAAAGTGTTTCTTTGTGCGGCTCGCTAGTCTTAGTTAAAAATGAAAGATAGAAAAAATTACACATGACTAAAGTTTATGCTCTTAGTGAATTCTAGAAAAGCGAGCTAAATTCTGAGAATTCGTCCTTCAAGTGGAGTAGATCCTAGGATGCCAAATCCAATCTTTAACCTGACTTTCCAATTATTATTTTTTTTCGATGAGTTCTGGAAAAACGGGATAAAATTTGAGAATTCGGCCCGCAAGTGGCCAACACTCTAAGTTCCCATTTGCCATCTTCACCCCGATTTTCCATTTGATCGGTAAATTTTAGAAAAACGAGGTAAATTCTGAGCATTCATGCTACAAGTGGATAATACCCGAAACTCCCATACGTTATCTTTACCCCAATTTTCCGTTTCCTTTCAACAAATTCAAGGAAAATGGGGTAAAATCTAAGAATTCATCCTCCAAAAGAAAAGATCCCCAAGTTGCCATATCCAATCTTCAACCCGATTTTCCATTTTTTCAGTGAATTCTAGAGAAACGGGGTAAATTCTGTGAAATTCATCGTTCAGGAGGAATGCATCCTACTGACTTGCCATAGCCATCCTTTGGCCCGATTTTCGATTTGATCATTCTGTGAATTTGTCATAAACGGGGTAAATTATGACAATTCCACCCAAAAGTGCAACCGTAAAATCCAAAATGATTTAGAAACAGTATTAAACAAAGAACAGCTAAAATCAGCGGAACCTAAATGAAATCACATCACAATCTACTACTTCAAAAACCTACAATATTCAAAATAAACAACTGAAGGCCAAACTTCTGTGACTGAAGGAAGACTTCGTGACGAGGACAAATTATATCACAACTTTGACCTCTCGGTCTATCTCACCTCCGACAGATCAGCGAAGCGTCTGAAAATATACAATTTTATACCGACGAACTATAATCTATGATCTTTAACTATTAAAGAGAATAAAAAAATTGTGACATGACGGCACATTGTGCTTTTGTTTTAGCTTGTGGGTAAAATGTTGTCATTGGAGTCGCAAGTCGAACAATGAAGACTAAATAAAGCAAGACTGCAAATAAAGCGTGAACAACAACGCACCTTAATTTGGTCGAAAGTCGCTTTCTTATTTCCGAAGCAAGTTGCTCTTCCACGTTTAGGTTAGAACAACGATGCGATCACACGGTGTTAACGAAGGAACGATAGAACTTCAAGGGTGAGTAATGTGAGAGGCCAATGATCCGGTTTGCAGTGACTGCGAACAGCACGTTTCTCTGAGATCAGTTTGAGGCTGCTCTTACGTTGTTGCCGGAAAATAGTGGTCAAATTTTCCACTTATCCAGACCCCCTTGAATGAGTATTTTTGCTTGAGTCTCTTCCCCAGTCTCAAGCCGCGTGTCGCTTTATAGATCACAGGATATGATTGGCCACTGTATCACATTACGTCAGAGGACATATCTTCAGTTAGCCCGTCGTGTAAGTCATGGCATCCGCTCGTGAGGAAAATCGCATAAGTACTTACAGAAAACTGCTTATAGATCTGTCGATGGAACTGTCCAGAAAAGATCTGGAGATGTTAATTTATGCTGTAGGAGATTTTCTTCCCAGGAGAGTGACAGAAAACATGGACAGTGGACTGAAGTTATTTGAAGCACTCGAACATGATGTACACATTAGTCCACTGGACCTGACCCTGCTTCAGGATGGGTTGAATACAATTGGTAGAGTGGATCTTGCTCAAAGAATTCAGGTTTTCTCTAGTAAACTGGAGACAGTTGAGACTGATGGTAATTTTTAACCATTGTTATTTTGGCTTGTTTTGACAGAAGAGTATTCAATTTGGTATAGAATACAGTAAAAACCCGCGGATAGGAAGAACCTGTTGGGCTAGAATTTTTATAGCCCACTCCACATAAGAACCCATGCCATTTAGGCTAAAATTTCAAGTTAGGTTCTCATCAGTGGAGTTGATGTAAAAGTGTACAGCACAGGTAGAAACTGCTGAATTAAGATATCGTACTTAGATTAAAAAAAAAAAACTTTTGTAAGTGCAGTTTTCCGTTTAGCACTTTATTCCCTTGATGTACATGTACTGCGATATTTTCCATTGCCATTAAATTTGCATTGTTAGTGAGTTTTTGTTTCTAATTTGCGTTCAGAAAATTATTTCAATGAAAATTCTCGTGTTATGTGCAATAAACAGCTCACGACATAGAAAGTGCTTTGTAGGGGGTTTTANCCCCCCCATTTTGTTTAAAATTGTGTATTTGTTTCTGAAAAAATACCGGTAGTGCTAGCTGTGAATTGAGTGTTGCTCTGTTCACTCACCAGGTGGGCAAGAGGACATAGTGACTGATGAAATTGGGGATCAAGGCAATGCTGGCACCACAGAAAGTGATGAGATTGATCCTACTAACACAGTAAACTCGAGTGCAAGGAAAGGTATGGTCATTTTAAGAGAGTAATTATTGAATTGATTGTAACCATTGCAATTTGCTCAAATGTGACTGGGGCTTTTTTTTGTAGTAATTTTTCTGTAGGGTTGTAATTGCATTGTATAATCGGACATGAGGCTGTAATCAGACACTTGTAATTGGACAGTTAAAGCAGCCAATCATGTAAAAAGTCCACTCAGCTTAATCTACCAATCACAAATATCATAGCAACAGCCAGTCATCCTAGAAAACTAGGGAACTTAAAAAATGGAGGAATTTTCTGGTTAATATAGTAGATGATTTGGTTAATACGATAGATGATACCCTGAGCTTTTATAAATGCTCATTCCCCCCTCCCCCATTTTGTTTAAAATTGTGTATTTGTTTGTGTTTATTGAGTGTTGCTGTGTTCACTTACTAGGTGGGCAAGATGACATAGTGACTGATGGAATTGGGGATCAAGGCAATGCTGGCACAGCAGAAAGTGATGAGATTGATCCTACTAACACAGTAAATCCTGGTGCAAGGAAAGGTACAAGCATTTTAAGAGAGTAATTATTGAATTAATTGTAACTGTTGCAATTTCCTCAAGTGTGATTGGTGCTTTATCCTGTATTAATTGCACGGTGTAATCAGACATGTGGCTGTAATCAGACACATGTAATCAGACAGTTAAAGCAGCCAATCATGTACTAAGTCCACTCAGCTTAATCTACCAATCACAAAAATTATAGCAACAGCCATTCATCCTAGAAAACTAGGGAACTTCAAAAATGGAGGAATTTTTTGCTTTAGAGATTGTATCTCCAAAATTGACAATCTCCTAAGTAAAAAATTCCTCACTTCCTTACTTCAGACATTGTCTTTACAGGAGATTTTTCCCTCAATGCATTTGTTCTTTTTCTGAAAACTGTAATGGTTCCGACTAATTGGGACTTTGTGTTGTCTGACTCCGTCTGTATTCATACAATCATGTAACTGAAAAAATCAGACTCCTGCTTCATCATCCTCTGATTTTGATAATCACTCAGTCCATTAATTTTTATTTAGGAATATCTTATAATTAAAGTTTTTGCAGAATTTGTTTTGCTTATAGATCTCTTTGGGGGAGCATTTTTTTGTCAGTCAGACTCCTCAGGGGATAGGTACATTTATTTGTTGTACAAAAAATTTACATTCTCTCTTGACCACTTAGTTTATAAAACTCCCAAACTAAACACATTTCCATTAAGTTCCCTAGAGTTCTGGTTATTGTGTTAGAGTATTGTGTTCTTTATCAGCCCTGTATAAGGTTGATCAATTTTTTTTTTGCCTGAATCAATCAGCTCGTGCTGCACACTTGAAATCAGCACTGCTACCTCACCATTCAGCATTACTGTTTGATGGGAATCTGGAAATTACCCCCACAATGGTCAGAACTAGGGATACTGGAGAAGCTACTTCTAAAAAACATTGCCTTGTGGCCAGTGGTGATGCTACATCTGCTGCTATAAATAATGGTGAGACTTGTAAAACAGATTGTTAACTCAGCCAGCAGTTCACAACAATTAAATGGTACCAAGTGAACCATGCATTCTTAATACACCTAGTATGCACACTTTTGTTGCCTTCTGTAATTGCTTATTACATTATGATAAATTATTTGATGTATAATTGTGTTCAAGAAATGGTCAATCACAAGAAATAGTTGAAGTACAGAACTCACATACCTAATTTGAAATTTAATAATTAGCAAGATGAGGATCATAGTAAGATTAAATAAAATTAACTGTTAACTTAATTGGCAGTTTTAGGGTCAACTTTATTAGTTGAGAAGTTTAAAAAATTAAATTATTATGCTAGAGTGAAATATTTTGTAATACAGTATTTTTTTCTTTTTGGCAATCCTTGTTATTTGTATATTAATAGGGTTTATATGGGTCATAAGCCAATATCTAAATAGTTTTGTCTTTTTTTCACACCTCAAAGAAGGTCACAAAGAAGGGTATTGTTTTATTTTAAAACTTTTGGATACCTAAAAGTTGGATAGGTGCATACTAGACAGGACCTCATTTTTTTGTTTGATCCCAGGCCCCTGCACTTCATCTCCTGCACCTTCAGCTGCACATGTGGGGCAACAATCACGAGGACCCACTCAGGCTGCTTCATCTGGCCGGGTCCAAAATCACTTAGCCCATGGAACAGCACCGGTTCGATATGTGAACTTTCTTGTTTATGAGGGCTACTCTGTTGAAGTAATAGGAGGAAAACACTTCAAAACTCCAGATGGAGAGTTTGTGGAAATGAAAAGTGGGACACAGTATAAAATACATGTCAAAAATTCACATCCTTATGGTAAGAGACAAACACATATATTTTCTGTATGTGAACTGCACAAATCTATAACATAAATCAAATGCTGTTCAAAAATTAATGGGATCAGCACCTGTCAAACATCTCTAGCATTTATAATTTGGTTATATCAACTGGGTTGATAGTGCAAAATAGCTGCCAAGGAATAATTTCCACTAAGTTTCATGATGCACCAATCTCAACTCTTAAGATACAATTATGCACTGAAAAAGTTTGTTTTCATTCGCACACAATCCTGAATAGATTGTGAGAACTTTATTGTTTTCTGCTTTAGTTTCACGGCAAGAACTGAGAAAATAATGCGCTAATGGTTATAAGCCTTAAGTCACTAAAGGAGAGAATTCAAATGTGTATCGAGTGCAAAATGTTAAACTGCTAAGAAACTCCATTAAAAAAGAACAATAAGAAGCACGGAGAAACATTGGGTCAAATTTGGGTTAGGACATGGAAGATTGAATTTTCATCGTTATTGTACTTTTTTATCAATATTATTTTATTTCTTATACACATAATCAGTATAAATAATATTTTTATAGACACAGTTAACACTTTAATTATGTTTTCCCTTCTATGAAGCATTTTTGGACCACTGGGAAAAGAAGCTATTTAAATTTGAAAAGTGAAGCAAAGGCGAGTTTGTTTCGCTTTTAAAAGCAAAAGCAGCGCTCGCACGCGTCGTACTAATGAAGAACGTTTCAGTGAGGTCTGATTGGCTTAGAGTTTCTTTGTTGCTGAGGGGGTTTTCATTAACTTTATTTTTAATACACACATGTAGAGGTATTCACAAGGGACAGTAAAGATGTAGACCATATTTTTTTTAAAAAACGATTTGTAAATGTTTTTTTTTCATTATTAAATATCGCTTTCTTCAGTTTTTGTTCCTTACTAATATTCATATTCTCGATTATCCGGAACCTCAATTGTCTGGACTATTTCGTTTTGTCCAAACGAGTCCGGATAATCGAGGTTCAACTGTATTATCGTTATTATTATTATTATTATTATTATTATTATTATTATTATTGCTATTATTATCAAGAATGTCTTGAGAAACGATTAATACTGTGGAGAAGTGGCGAGATTGAGTCCCTACTACGTGAAGGGAGAATAATCCAACGGCGCTTATCAAAGTCGAACAAGAATGATCCACCAAATAAAGCACGCAATTTTGCAAAGTTGGTCATGGAGGGCCAGATTAATTCGGCCCTGCGATATCTCAAGTCAGGATGATAGCGGAGGAGTATTACCGCTGACCAGCGATGTTGTGAGACAACTGAGAGAAAAACACCGTGATGCGCAGAGGGCCAAGCTAGGGTCGATGTTGTTCGGGCCTGTGGAAGATATACCTGACTTGGTGTTTCAAGGAATTAATGGAGAGCTTGTGAGAGAAGCTGCGTTAAGAACTAAGGGGTCTGGCGGCCCCTCGGGTGTGGACGCCAAAGGCTTCAAGAGGATCTTGGCTTTTAAGAGATCGAGTATCAACGTATGTGAGTCTATAGCTACACTCACAAGAAGACTGTGCACGGAATTTGTTGATCCGCTGACCATTGAACCTATCGTGGCCAGTCGCCTTATTCCGCTTGACAAGGGTAACGGTGAGGTGCGCCCGATTGGTGTGGGCGAGGTGATTAGAAGAATAATTGGCAAATGCGTCACAAGAATCACAAAACAAGATGTGATCAACTCTAGTGGGGCCGTGCAGGTCTGCGCTGGTCAGAGGAGTGGCGGGGAAGCTGCAATACATGCTATGCTCAATATCTTTAAAGGCGATGAAACTGATGCCGCCTTACTAGTTGACGCCTCTAACGCCTTCAATTCACTAAACAGAGCGGCCGCGCTTAATAACATCAGAGTGCTATGCCCACTGATCGCCATCTATGTAACTAACACTTATTGAGTTCCTGCGCCTTTTTGTGGTTGGTGGTAGTGAGCTTAAATTTGCAGAAGGAACCACACAGAGAGACCCCTTAGCTATGTCGATGTATGCAATTAGTCTACAACCGTTAATGTCGTTGCTTCAAAATCGAAGCACTGCAAAACAATGCCGGTTCGCGGATGACGTTACTGGAGCAGGATCCCTAGAAGAGGTTAAACAATGGTGCGATGAGTTGAGAGAGGCTGGTCCGACCCGTGGATACTATCCTAACTCCAAGAAATGCTGGCTTGTTGTTAAACCGGGAAAGGAAGGCCACGCGAAGGAAATGTCATCACCTCCGAGGGACGCAAACACTTTTGCGCTGCGCTGGGCTCTCGGTCTTATCTTGAGCAATATGTGGGTAGCAAGGTAGAAGAGTGGTGTGACAAGTTGTGTGACTTTTTTATAATACTCTATTGTGATTCTGTCAATCAGCTTTGTATGCGTCATTGTCCAAGCATGTGCGAGGACCCGATGTTATTCCAGGAGCAGCACGTAGTTCGGTTGTCGTGGCGCAGTTTGATTTTTAATAAACCGTTTAAACCTTTATTTGCCGTTTCTTACATGGTGGCAGCGATCACAGGACCCATACAGACGGAAGACTACTAGTATGGCATCAGGATTTAGTTTACCACCGCCGGCACCCCTAGAACTTCACGATCAAAACGCCGCGGAGAAGTGGAAGAAATTTCATTTAGCATGGACAAGCTATTCTCTGGCTACGGAACTTAACAAGAAAGCCCAACCAGTCCAAGTTGCTACTCTCCTCACAGTCATAGGAGAGGAGGCTCGAGATGTTTATTCCACGTGTACAGATTGGACCGAGGAGGGCGACTAGAACAAGATTGCCCCGGTTTTGACGAAGTTTGCCGAATATTGCCAACCGCGAAAAAATGTCCCCTTTGAGCGCTACCGATTCAACCGCCGATCACAAGAAGCAGGAGAAACATATGACCAGTACAAGACCGCACTTCGTAAACTCGCCGCGGGATGTGAATTCAATACCATAACTGCGGACGAAATACTCAGAGACCATTTGATTTTTGGCATACGCGACCCAAAAGTCCGGGAGAGGTTACCGCGCGAGGCTGCCCTCACCTTAGCCAAAACAGACGAGATTTGTCGCGCCGCCGAAAGCATGCAAGCCCAAATAAAAATTGTCGGAGATGCCACCGAATCGGAAACCAACAAAGTAGATCAGGAGCGTACCTCTAACGCAAGAAAACAAAAGAAGAATATGCGGAGAAGACAACAGCAAAGTCAACGCGGACGTAATTGGAGAGAGTGTGACAATTGTGGATATCAACATATGGAAAACTTGGAATCCTGTCCCGCACTCGGTAAGGAATGCCTGAAGTGTGGAAAGAGGAATCACTTCATAGCGAAATGCAAGTCCAAGGAGGTCAAAGCCGCCGATTTAGAAGACGAAGAGGCCAGCGAAATGTACCAAACTGACGTAGCAGCCGTGGAACTTTGATGATTCACAACTGGTCACATTGAAATTAGAGTCTGGTAACTTCGTTCGTTTTAAGCCGGACACTGGCGCTCAGTGTGACGTGATGCCAGTACATATTTATAAGAAAGCATCCAAAGACGAAACGCTTGAAAAGGTAACTCGCATCGAGGCATCGCTTGCCGCCTATGGGGGCTCGAAAGTTAAAGTCATTGTTCGCGTCAGCGTCCGCGTCTGGAGAAGCGAAAGGTCATTCCGTCTGGACTGCCGTTTAGTCAACAACGCTAAACTACGTCCTATCCTTGGCATCAAGTCGTGCTTAGCTATGGGTATTATCCAGTACAAAGATAATGACCTTATCCACAGGCCTGAGACTGGAAGTGCTTCGGTTTTTGCAGTGGATGCCCCGCGTTCACCTTTAAGCAAAGAGGAGCTCATGTCAAAATTCCCAGACGTTTTTGGTGACGGCCTAGGCCAACTGGACGGTGAATACAAGATTAAGTTAGATGAAACGGTCCCCCCAGTACAGCATGCTCCTCGTCGCATCGCAGTGGCATTAAGGCCCAAGCTTAAGGAAGCATTAGATGATTTAGAAGCACAGGATGTCGTAGCTCCGGTGACCACGCCCACCAGGTGGATAAACTCCATTGTCGCAGTACCAAAGAAGAATGGAAAGTTGCGCATATGTCTGGACCCCAAAGATCTGAATCGTGCAATACAGAGAGAAAATTATCAGCTTCCGACAGTTGAGGACATTGCGACACGCCTCCATGGAGCAAAGGTCTTCACTATTATGGATGTCAGGAATGGGTTCAGGCAGGTCAACCTTGATGAAGAATCTTCATACCTGACGACCTTTCAGACCCCCTTCGGTCGGTATCGCTGGAGGCGCATGCCATTCGGAATCTCATCAGCTCCGGAAGTGTTTCAACGGAAAATGCACGAGCTTATTGAAGGCATGACGGGTATTGAAGTGGTGGCAGACGATTTTATTGCAGTCGGTTACGGTGACACGTTTGAAGAAGCGGCTCAGGATCATGACAAAAATATTCTGCTCTTCCTCCAAAGATGCAAGGAAAGAAATGTCCGCCTAAACTTAGAGAAGCTCAAGCTGCGACAGTCACAAGTGCTCTTCATTGGACACATGGCTACTGATCAGGGACTGGGAAAAGATCCCGCCAAAGTCCGAGTTATTGTTGAGATACCACCCCCTACAGACAAGCTAGGAGTACAACGTCTTCTGGGACTAGCTTAGTACCTGGCCAAGTTTCTTCCACATCTCTCCGATACAGCTAAGCCTCTAAGGGACTTAACACAGAATGACGTACAGTGGGTTTGGAATGAACCTCAACAGACTGCATTCGTGAAGTTAAAAGAAATGGTTATTCGCACCCCATTTCTGCGTTACTATAATCTCAAGGAAGAAGTTACACTACAGTGCGACGCATCCCAGTCGGGCCTGGGAACCGCTCTGATGCGGAATGGGCAGCCTGTCGCTTATGCCTCACGAGCCCTGACACCGGCCAAGACACGCTATGCTCAAACTGAGAAAGAACTCCTGGCAATAGTCTTTGCTTGTGATCGTTTTGACGTCTATGTGTATGGCCGAGACCT